AACGTTTTAATTACGTTGTATTGTTAAGGAAATATTAAGCTTCTCAATGATCAAAATTAGTGTTTGTCAAACTGCTATATAACCAATGAAATTTTTCTGATAAAGTGGTTGGTTCAAATTTTTTGAAATTTTTATATTTTTGTCAAAGGGTCAAAGTAAACATTTTGTCAAAATTTTATGAAAATTAAACGAGCCAAATTAATATTAGTCAAGGTGTTGGGTACCACCTTAATTCTATTAATATTTTATTATGTATTTATTGTAACAATATTATTTTATGTGTTATTGTTCTCAGTTATAAGTATAAAGATTGTAAATATATCATTTCCTTTGAGTTAATTAGCAATTAGAATTTAAGGCATGTAAGAATGGTTTTCCATTTTTTTTTTTTTTACTTGGCATGTCATTTTCTTCCACTCCCATTTCCTTTTTATTTGTAGTGGAGGAAACATATAGGTTGCAGAGATTATATAATTTCTTCAACATGTTCAATCTGTTCAAGAAAACTAATCATTAACACTGAACTATGAATTAATTTTTATCAAAGACAAACATCTCTGTCAGATGGAATTTACACCTTACAAAATAATGTTCTAGATATAGTAACAACTAAATGATTACTGATTCATTAAAATGAAGTTAAGGTCATGTGATCCTGTCAGACAGGAAAAGTAATAGTTACACAGAAATTAGTGTGCTAACATTCCATTGGCAAATTTAGTCTGATACATTTTACAAAAGTGTGGGACTTTTACATCATGCACTGTCTAGAATGTACATGAGTCATACAGTAAAATTCATTAATGGCATTTGTTTAGAATCAGAAAAATATCAGGGTTGAAAAATGTGCTCACTGATTTATAAATAAATTTAAATGATTTCTGCTAAATTGTTTAGTAAAAATTTAGGTCTAAACTGTAATCTTCCAGTTTTCTATACTGGAGTGTAATAAATTATTTAATAACTCATGTTTACTTTCAAAGTTTCCATTCTTTGGCTGACTCATAATGAGTATAACAGGTTGTACTAAGGACCTTTCTAATGAGTAAAATTAAGAATTGGAAATGAGGAATGTGTCAAAGAGACAACAACCCGACCAAAGAGCAGAGACCTTGTTTTCTTTCAAATTTTGAACCTTGAACATGTTGAAGTACAAATAAATAGTTTTCTTATTTAATTGTTCCATATTTTTCATATTTGTGCCTTTTATAGACAGTTTTTCTCATTGTTGAAGGTGGTAGGGTTGCCTATAATTGCTTACATCCACTTCATTTGAACTCTGGTGGATATCATCTGATTCAATAGAGTTGCCTCATTGGCAATTATATACCACATCTCTTAATTCATTGTTATTCAGGTGATTTTTTCAAGCTTAATTTTCTAAATATATCACTGAATAGTAATCTTACATGTATATATGCAACTACTCAATATGTAATTTTATATTTTTAAGCTAAAATATATTCAATAAATACATTTATCATATATTTGTTATGAAACATTGGGGTTTGCATATTTACACAATATATATATAACCACAGATTTGCCCTATTAATATTTCCAAATAACCAGTTAATTGTGCCTTGTCATTTGGTTATTAATGATGTTGTAAGCATTTCTAACAGCAATGACTGATGAAGAGGTGCTCATTTTGTCAAAATCAATGAAAATTAATTTGTCAAATAAATAAAGATAACTAACGCTTAACTGCTAAAAGAAAATCTCACATGACATTACAATTTTCAAGTATTTTGAGTTTCGTAATAGTGAAATTATTTCAGTGGAAAAACATTTATGATCTTGCCAGACTAATCATAAAATTCTTTCCTTAAGCATATGTATAAATATATGACATGTTCTTTTCCATATGGGCCCTAGTATCATCCCTTGATCCATATGAGCCCTCAGCTTGCGCCTTTAGCTAATATTAGTGTCTTGGGATGATACCAGGACAGATATGGAAAGACATGTTTCAGTCTATAAGTACATATAAAAATAATTAGATATGGTAAGACTGCTAATGAGACAAATATCCTGGGACCAAAGTTCAAATGAAAAGGATATATTACGCGCAATTGAAGTTTACTGTATGGATTTCAACAAAGATAAAACAGTCATGCTGTATAGTCAGCTATAAAAAGCCCCAAAATGAAAATGTAAAAAATTAAACAAGAAAACTAATAATATATTTATAAGTATTTTTGTGCTTTACATCCTATGAGCTGTGCCCTTTAACAATACCATTGCTTAAATATTTTACCACATATATACATTATTATAAGTAAACCAGAAATATATTAGTGCATCTCATGCATCACACACACACGAATACTGTGAAAGTACTTTTATTCGTGGGGTACCAATTTTCGTGGTTTTCGTGGAAGGTTTTATCCACGAATTTAAGTGTCCAACGAAATATAACAACTGTTGTCCAAATCAAGACATGGAAAAATCCCCTGTAGGTTCGACTACATGGATACGGGCATATTTTCTAGAGAAAACATCAAATATCAGCAAACGCACTATGAACTATATGCAGTGGCGTAGCAAAAGTGTAGCATGTACAACTTCAGACAGGATTTTAATTTTTAAATTATAAACCAAAGTAAAAAATTAGCTTTGAAAAATGAAAGTCAGACTTCCGGTTAAGATGTATGATGATGAAGTGTTAATTTTATCTGCTCATAATTCTCTCACGGAAAAAAATAATAATTGTTGCATATTGGGCTTGCTTTTTTTATTTCAAAAGTATTATTTCATAAGTATTCATTCATTTTGTTTAGGGGCCAGCTGAAGCCCACCTCCGGGTGCGGGATTTTCTCGCTGTGTTGAAGACTCATTGGTGGCCGTCAGCTGTTTTCTGCTGTTTGGTCGGGTTGTTGTCTCTTTGACACATTCCCCATTTCCATTCTCAATTTTCTTCAAAGTACATTTGTAGCATTTTTATGCAATTTTTTTCTTTAGATGACATGTTTATGGCCCAATTAACACCTTTGATGATCGTTAATCTCTTGATTATTGTCGGGTTAATTGGTGTCACCACTTCTGATTACACGTGTGCAACAATCAAAATGTTTACTTTGCAATTTTCTTCAATGAGACAATTTGTATTCAGAGATGAGTCAGCTTATTTCTGAAAGCAATTATTTTATAAAAAATTTGATGAATGTTGTCAGAAAATTAAAGACGAACATGTAAGTGAAAATGAACACCATATGATTATTTTCAAGATACTTCGTTTCTGATGGGATCCAATTTTCACCCAAATTTTTTTCTCAGAAAACTAAAATCCATGAATTTAAGAACCCACGAACATGTAACTTTTGCTCAATCCATGAAAATTGATAACCATGAATAAAAATACTTTCGCAGTATGCATATATGTAGTAGCATGCTTTCCTAAGCTTAAAACCAAATTTCATGAGCTCTAATTTGCAGTTCCTGAGAGAAACACAACCAACATTTATTGCAATATAGTTCCCTCTCCTAGAGTGAGGATGTATTGATTTGATTTGAATTTATATTATTTATTTTTAGAAGTATACAGTGTATTCAATGGAATTAAGGTTATTACTCTTCAGAATCAGGATTACTTCAGTTTAAATTAAATGATCCATAAATCAGCAGACATATAATTATTTAATACAACAGAGAAATTTATTCAAGTTGCTTGTTTATCACTTCAAAAACATTAAACATAAATAAACAGTCAGTTGGCAGGTTCAAAATATTGCAATCTTAAACAGCATGAGTTACAGACATGATTTAAATTAGAAATCTAGTTAAAATGGTTCTTTTTTCTTCCATTGGTTTAGGAATTTCAGACAATTACAAGTATCTCACACATATCCAAATAAAATAAGGGATATATTTTAAACATAGTGAAACCTGTTGCGAATGTTTCCTGTGCAGGTTTTAAATAGTGTGTTTTTGTTGGATGTTTGTATGACAGGCAAAAGGACACAATATGTTTAACAAAATAAAATTGTACTTTATTAGCATGGTTGATGAAGTTTATCTAAGTTGAATACTGAAATATCAGAAATTATTGCAATAAGAAATTATTGCAATAATATATTATTGTGAATTTGACATGACCATACAAAATTAAAGATTAATTTTTGCAATTTCATGAAAAAAGTGCAAACAGATATAATTTTAATTTTGTATTCGTATATATATGGATTGTGATTTTATATTATTGTGATAGTCATCCTTCTTTAAGACAATTTTCAACCAATGTTTAAATATTTAAAGTCTTGCAGTGAAACACCACCATTCAGAAGTCAAGTGCTACTAAAAATAAACCCCGGTTTTCTGAATATCTTCAATAAGCATACTATCGAGCACATTAATCCTCAATTTTTAAAGCATAATCTTTGACTTGTAAATTTTAACTCAAAATTAATGTAAAAATAAGAAGATGTGGTATGATTGCCAATGAGACAACTCTCCACAAGAGACCAAACATCACAGAAATTAACAACTATGTCACTGTATGGCCTTCAACAATGACTATAAACCATACCACATTATCAGCTATAAAAGGCCCCTAAATGACAAATGTAAAACAATTTAAATAAGAAAACTTAAGGCATGATTTATGTTCAAATTGGTCTATATGTATATTTCATTTCTACAAATTTGTTTGCTAGTTTAAGTAAACAACAGCATATGTTCTAAAAACTAAAATAACAAAAAATACCGAACTTCGAGGAATATTCAAATCGGAAAGTTCGTAGCCAAATGGCATAATCAAAAGCTCAAACACATCAAAAGAATGAATAACAACTGTCATATTCCTGACTTGGTACAGGCATTTTCAAGTTGAAGTGGGTGAATTGGTGTCCAAACAAATTAATGGAAACCTTACAATAATTTCTAATTCACTGTACCTTTGATGCCAAAATGTTAGAATTTACCTAGAAACTGAAATGGAAGGCTGTATTGTTACAAAGATATCAATGGAGGACAACACATAAAATTCTAACAAAACTCACCTATTTCAGGGTTAATATCTTTGACAATAAAACCATCCTTGTCAATACCCTGTCTTATATACAACTCTGCCTCTTTAACTGCACTAGACACCTAATGAGGAAAAAGAAATGAAAATTCTATGATTGTTTGAATTCATATGTTATGTATGTATATATATTAACTTATGAAGTAAGATTGGTTTAATACATGCTAGCTATATTCATAAAGCAAAGGCTGATCCAGGAATTCTTTCACAAGGGAGGCTCAACTGCCAAGTTAAAAGGCAAAAGATGGATGTCAATAATAGCCTCTCGAGAGATTCACTTAGTGTAAAAATAGATGCTAGTTTGTCCCTCACATTTGGATGTGCAGGAGCAATTTTCCTAAAGATTGGACTCTGATAAGAAGGGAAAAGTAGCATTATATCTGCACCTTTTAATTTTATTGAACCTATATGCTGAGAGTACCATGAGATGCACAAGCAGATTGTAGAGGTCACTAGCGTATTTGGTCTTATGAGGTCAATTCATGAAATTTATCCCTCTTAAGTTTATTGGAAATAATGGATATCTTACTTGTTTTTATTTGGAAATTAATTTATTTGTGACATTTGGAATACGATATTTACGATTTGATATAGTTTTTGGATTCATTAATATTCTAACGATGTAGCTTGTGATGGATAATTTTGTTACGTTGTCAGCAAACATTTGCTAATGGAACGGTAACGGAACTTTCTGGCAAGGCCAAGACAAGTTCTAAAAGTGACAATATTTTCAGCCCAAATTATGACCACAGGCAACTTATTTCGCCAGGTTATGATAACAAAAAACAGTGCTTTTCAAGCGAGTATTGAAAACATTATTGTAGGAGGTGGAGCCATGGGTAATACTCCTGTCAATCAAACACAGGAAGTAGCTATATCGGATGTCTACAATATGTTATTGCAGAATCAGTTATACATACAAACTTTGATGCAAAAACAGAATTTACAAACTGATACTATTCAGACAGCACCAAAGATTTATTCTAGACAATTGGCAACAATGGCCAGACCAAGAAAGGTCTTCAAAATAAATCTAGAAAAGATAACTATCAATCACAAATGGACTGTTTGTTTGACACAAACAATAATATTTCTGCACCTTCTGAATTATATCCAGATGTTTCAAGTGACAAACAAAGTTAAGATTGCAATGATGAAGATTGTTCGGAGAACAATGATCATGATGAACATGAAGCAGATCTAGAAAAAACTAAAAATGCAAATGTCTTAGAACCAATGAAAGATTTTATTATAAATTCTGATGAAAAGACAGGTCCAAAAATTAATCATGGTTTAGCCAATCATATGAACCAGGGACTGAGGACAAGAGTGAATGAAGATAAATTCAAAGAACTCACCAAAAAGTATGATAAACCTGGAAGCCATTGTACATAGCTTATAGTGATGACGCTAATTTAGCTCTTGTAAACCGATACATTTATTCACATAGCACCATTAATATGATCATTATATGCCTTGGTTGTATTTTAAAAGCTAAATGTATCTACTACCTATTGAGCATCATTTATTGTATTTTTCTGCATTCAGTCAATTTAAAACTATTGTCTGATCGGTTGTCATGTGGAATTTTCAAAAAGTTAAAAATGTTTTATAAAATCCTAATCAAATATTTCATGGAAAGAAAGACTAACAAGAGGCTCTCAAGAGCCTGAATCGCTCACCTGTATTTCAGAGGAGAAGATTTTTAAATGTTAGCAAACTTGATGAACAAATTGTGTAAAATTGTCTTTAAAGGGCAATAACTCCTTAAGGGGTCAATTGACAATTTTGGTCATATTAACTTTTTTGTAGATCTTACTTTGCTGAACATTATTGCTGCTTACAGTTTATATATATCTATAATAATATTCAAAATAATAACAAAAAACTGTAAAATTTTGTTAAAACTACCAATTCAGTGGCAGCAACCCAACAATGGGTTGTTCGATTCGTCTGATAATTTCAGGGCCGATAGATCTTGACCAATTAAACAATTATACCCATTGTCACATTTGCTCTAAAAGATTTAGTTTTTGAGATATAAGCCAAAAACTGCATTTGACCCTTATATTCTATTTTTAGCAATGGCGGCCATGTTTGTCGATGGATACAAACTTCGGATACAATTTATAAACAAGATACCCTAAGAAACATTTAGTTAAAGTTTGAAGGTAATTGGCCCAGTAGTTTCAGAGGAGAAGATTTTTAAATGTTAGCAAACTTGATGAACAAATTGTGTAAAATTGTCTTTAAAGGGCAATAACTCCTTAAGGGGTCAATTGACAATTATGGTCATATTAACTTTTTTGTAGATCTTACTTACCAGAACATTATTGCAACTTACAGTTTATATATATCTATAATGATATTCAAAATAATAACAAAAAACTGCAAAATTTTGTTAAAACTACCAATTCGGTACAGCAACCCAACAATGGGTTGTTTGATTCGTCTGAAAATTTCAGGGCCGATAGACCTTGACCAATTAAACAATTTTACCCCTGTCACATTTGCTCTAAAAGATTTAGTTTTTGAGATATAAGCCAAAAACTGCATTTGACCCTTATGTTTTATTTTTTAGCCATGGCGGCCATGTTTGTTGATGGATACAAACTTCGGATACAATTTATAAACAAGATACCCTAAGGAACATTTAGTTAAAGTTTGAAGGTAATTGGCCCAGTAGTTTCAGAGGAGAAGATTTTTAAATGTTAGCAAACTTGATGAACAAATTGTGTAAAATTGTCTTTAAAGGGCAATAACTCCTTAAGGGGTCAATTGACAATTATGGTCATATTAACTTTTTTGTAGATCTTAGTTTGCTGAACATTATTGCTGCTTACAGTTTATATATATCTATAATAATATTCAAAATAATAAAAAAAAACTGCAAAATTTTGTTAAAACTACCAAATCGTTGGCAGCAACCCAACAATGGGTTGTTAGATTCGTCTGAAAATTTCAGAGCTGATAGATTTTGACTAATTCAATAAATTTACCCCATGTCAGATTTGCTCTAAAAGCTTTAGTTTTTGAGATATAAGCCAAAAACTGCATTTGACCCCTATGTTCTATTTTTAGCCATGGCGGCCATGTTTGTAAATGGATCAAAACTTCGGATACAATTTATAAACTAGATACCCTAAGGAACATTTATTTAAATTTGAAGGTATTTGGCCCAGTAGTTTCAGAGGAGAAGATTTTTTAAATAGTTTACGACGACGACAGACGACGACGACAGACGACGACGACAGACGACGGACGCCAAGTGATGGCATAAGCTCACATGGGGCCCTTAGGGCCCCGGTGAGCTAAAAATTGGCAGAGGATGAAGACTAATAACCTAGATAACACACACAAACAAGAATGTGTCCATAGTATACAGGTTACACAGATGCCCCACTAGCAGTATCATTTTCTATCTTCAGTGGACCGTGAAATTGAAGTCAAAGCTCTAATCTGGCATTAAAATTAGAAAGATCATATCATGTGTACCAAGTTTCAAGTTGATTGGACTTCAACTTCATTAACAAATACCTTGACTAAAAACTTTAACCTAAAGCGGGACAGACGAACGGACGGACGGACGGACAAATGAATGGATGCACAGACAGAAAAAACATATACCCCAAGGTGGTGCATAAAAATGAAATTATTTTGAAATTATGCATTTTTAAGATCCACTTTTTATATGTTTTCAAGTACTTTTAGTAAAAATTTGTTAATTGAACACACCTACACTGTTGTTATGACTCATTTATTAATACTTACATTTTTCTGGCCTTTGATTTGAGCACGTTCATTTTTCCTTGTCCTGTATAAAAAATATTTCATTTTAATACATTTTATATGTTTGAGCAATTTCAAAATTATTTTAGAAATTTCTGAATTATATTGATTTAATTTAAAGAATATACATATCTGTGTATATATATAGGATAAGATTAGAGATCACCAAATGCGGCCAAAAAATATGAAGTACTGTTTTATGTACATGTACATCGCATGTATAATTAAAGAACCTTTGTGAGCACGCTCACATACCCCAAAGCCCCCACATTGTCACTGGACAAACAAAATCTCAACAGATTCCTAAGTTCAAAGACTCATAACTCTACAAAACAAACTGAAAAGTAAACTGATAAAAATTTTCTTGTGAATATGCACATTTACATATTATGTTTTCATTAACTACAAAGTTTCATGAAATTGTCTTGTGTGGTTTCAGAGGAGTTGCGATTACAAACTGTTGCAGTAGTATATTTAGACCAAAATTAAGTTCAAAGGGGCATAACTCCTAGAAAAAAATTGAATCATAATTTCCTGTGGATATGCACATCTACATAGTATGTCCTTATTATCTACAAATTTTCATGAAATTCTGTTGTGTGGTTTCAGAGGAGTTGTGATGACAAAGTATATTTTGGCCAAAATTTTAAGTTAAAGGGGCATAACTTCTAGAAAAAAATTGAATCGTAATTTCCTGTTGATATAAACATCTGCATAGTATCATGTCCTTATTATCTTCAGTTTCATGAAATTCTGTTGTGCGGTTTCAGAGGAGTTGCGATGACAAGAACGGGACTGGCCAAATTCTAAGTTAAAGGGGCATAACTCCTAGAAAAATAAATGGGGAATATGTCCATGTGACACAGATGATGCCCCCGCTTGCATATCATATAAAGTTATAAAGGGACATAACTGAAGAACAGTAAAAGTGACATTACCCAAATTTGTACTTCATCTGAGTTTTGTGGTAATAAGTATTGTGTATAAGTTTCACAACATTTGGTTGAGGCAAACTGAACTTAGAGAACAGAAACGAAAAATTCAGCAATTTTTCCCTTTGTAAAGGAGCATAACTCTAGAACAGAAAAAAAGATGCTACCAAAATTCAAACTTGATCTGTATTTTGTGGTAATAAGCCTTGCACATTAGTTTCATAATATTTGGTTGAGGCAAACTAAAGTTAGAGAACGGTAAAGAAAAAATTCAGCAATTTTTCCATTTGTAAAGGAGCATAACTCTGGAACAGTTAAAGTGACGCCACCAAAATTCA